CAAAGATTTTTTGGAAGCATATTCACAATTAAGAAAGGGTGTAAGTTTCGGTTTTGTACACTACTCTCTTTGTATTAAACTAGGTCTTTATCTGAGCTATGCTGCGAGATATTTTTTTAATTTTTGTATATATTTTTAATATAATAAAATTATTTTTATAATATAAATATATATTATATTTATTTTTATTAGCTTAATTTATGTATTTATATATTTTAAATCTGAATAAACGTTATATATTCTTAATTTTTTTATTTTTTAAAATTATAATCTACTATAAAATTTGTTTAGCTAATTATCTATAAATGTATATGTAAGAATAAAATAATACATTTTTAAGTACATTTATGCTAATGATAAATGTAATTTATTTTCTCTACTAAATTGCCACTTGATCCTCCTTTAAAATTATATAAAGCAAATTGTCATTTAAAAAAATTATTAATTAATATAATTATTTTAAATTATAAAATATATTTATTTATCAAATATTTGTTATAAACATATGTTTCTAAAACCATCAAAACTATTATCAATAATATTCATATCAAAACTATTGCTATTGCTTTAGAACTAAATAGAAAGTTCTGCTTCAAGTGTTGAAATATCAATTTAGTTGAAGTTAAATAATTCAATTTTCGTTACTATAAACATATTATAACTTGAAAATTTAGCACATAGAAAATTTATCTTATTACAAAAACTGAGAAATTGCAGTTTTCAACAAAACAAAAAAAAATATTTTTCTCACGAAACTGAGAAATCGCCTATTCCCGCCAAAACCAAAAAAAAATTATTTTCTCGTCAAACATAAAATTTCATTTTTATACAAGAAATTACATTTTCCCGCAAAAACAAAAAAATCACATTTTCCCGCGAGAAACTCCAAAACAGAGAAATCAAGTTTTTTCACCAAAACCAAAAAATTACATCTTCCTGCAAAAACCAAAAAATCATATTTTCCCGTCAAAAACGAAAAATATTTTCCTGTAAAAACCGAAAATCATCTATTCCCGCCAAAAAAAAAAAATATATTTGTCTCATCAAACCAAGCATCACGCCTTCCTACCAAAACCAATAAACTATAATTTCCTACGAAAACCAAAAATTGCATTATATCCTGAGAAATTGCGTTTTCCGCAAAATTGCATTTTTCCGCAAAAACCAAATGTCAAAAGCTGAAAATTTGCATTTCCCATCAAAACCGAAAAATTGTTTATTCCTACCAAAATCAAGAAATTTTGTTTTCCCATCAAACCGAGAAATTTTATTTTCCGCCAAAATTGTCAAATTACAATTTCTCGCGAAAACTACGAAAACACATTTTCCGCGAAAATAAAGAAACCACATTATCCATCAAAAGCCAAAAATTTGCATTTCATATCAAAACCGAGAAATCGTTTTTTGTCAAAATTGAAAAGTTGCATTTTTCTTGCATTTTCTCGTCAAAACTAAGATATTTTGTTTTCGCGTCCAAATCAAAATTTTTTTTCTCACCAAAACCAAAAATTCACATTTTTCCGCCAAACCCGAGAATTCATTTTTTTTCCACCATAACCGATAAATTATGTTTTTCTACCAAAACTGAAAATCATATTTTCCTACTGAAACTAATAAATTCTCTATTCCTGCCAAACCCAAGAAAATTTGTTCTCGGTAACCACCGGAAATGCGAATCTCCAAGCTGTGGTGGTCTGAGCTTCTCCTCATTTGCTTTCGACTTCCATTTTTTTGTAAACTTTGAGTTTTTTAATGGATCAACAAAATAGTAAACTGATTTTATTAGTGTGTTAATGATATGTATTATTGTTATGTTTTTATTGGTTCAAATTTTTGCTGATGTGTGAGCTTCTTATAACATAACGCTTTTTGCGTTGTTGTTATGGAAACATAGTTAATGATGAGTCTACACTTTCTTCAATCATATATGTCTCTATCAAGAAAACACATAGTTAAAAATTTAAATATTTTTTGCTGTTATTTATTATTTGAGTTTTGGTTTGGCAAAAATATAAAACAAATATTTAGTTTTTTTATTTGTTGTTATTTATTATTTGGATTGAGGGATGGTAAAAAATAAAATAAAATTTTTAATTTGCTTTTATTTATTATTTGGGTTTGAGTTTGTTAAAAAATAAAACAAAGATTAACAAAGAAAAATATTTAGATTTTTAATGGGTTTAAATTACAAATAATAAAAGTTAGTAGATGATGTGTATTAATAAAATATTTTGATTGGTGTTGTTTTTTCTGAGGTGTCAACTTTAGAAAGTTTGAATAAACTGATGTGTCATCTCCTAGAGAGACAGTTGTGTTATTGTTGTATTGATTTCTCAATGTATATAAAATGGGTTTTGTTTCGTTGGATTTTTTGTTCGTCTGGAATGCTTGCAAGTCATGGGTAATTAATGATTATCACACCTTTGGATGATGAGACAGACATGAAGAAGCTATAGGAAGCTGTAATGTCCTTTAATATGGAAGGATTGTTTTGGGGAAGTTGTTGCATCTCTAACATACTCTCTATATATGTGCTTTTAATATCGGGCATGATTACTTGAAAAATATTACTAAATCTCTAAATGTTAATTTATTACAGAAAAGCTTGAACGGTGACAAGATCGACATGGAAAAGGTAAATGAAGCTGAAAGATTTATAAAGATGGAAGGACTGTTTTGGGGAAAATGTAAGTTTGTATATAGTCACGAGGGTATTGTCGTTTTTGGCTTTGAACAGGATCTGTAAGTATATCTAAACCCAATTTGAACTCCTTGGAAGCTGCAGTTTTTTCTATAAGTTGATGCCAAAGATGTTTGTTATTGAAGCTTGTCTTGAATGATAATTAATGCTGGAGAAAATCTCCAAGAGGAAGGCATTGGGTAGTTTCCATTGACTGCTTTTGCAAATCGGTTCTGTATAATGTGGAAATCTTTGGCTATCTCTCACTAAAATTTGATATTTTATCATCATCTCCTTGTTTCACTGATCGGTTATGAATGAACACAAATCGAGTCCTTCTTTAAATTGTTTATTGCCTCTACAATTTGAAATATTTTGTTTTCCGCCCATAATCATTCATCGTGTTAGTAAATTTCACGTTGCATGATTTTACATAAATTAGTCATGATGATTATTTTATCATATGTACACACTCCTTGTGTTATTCTTGAAATTTCAGTTTACTGCTTATAATTTTTTGGAATTTCATTTTCCTATCCACAGCAATTATCCGTTATATTAGCGAATAATCATTTACAGAAAATTTATCACATGTTTTTATTAAGAGAGATCATGTTATCTTACCATGTAGCACACTATCTGTTGTTCTTGTTCAAAGTTGTGGCCTTCAAGTGTTTTGGATGGACTGTTTAAATGTCTAAATCGAGAACTTTAATTCACTTTTTTTTTAATTACTAATTGAATGAAGTAATGGGGAATAATATAAATAAATATATACAGACGGCGGCATTCAGTGGAAATTTGCCTAATTGCCGAGTAGGTAAGGTAGTACGTAAGCCATCATAACGGCGCCGTTTCACCGCATTATAATCATACTGTGAGAGAGTAGAAGCAGACACTTTGATTTAAGATTAATATATGTATCTATATTGTATCTTTTGGTTCTAACATAAGGAGAAGAAATGTTTGATTTGGTCACACACGTGAGACAGCATCGTAGGCAAAAGCCACTCTCTTCTTCTAAAACATTTTTCTATAGAAAATTATCAAAACCCTTAAGGATGATTTAAGGGTCAGATGGTGGATTTGTTTCGTTGAAGGGTCACCTCAGACTTAACCCTAAACAAAACAATTTTATTGGTTTGATAAATTTAATAAAAAAAATTCAAAAGTCTACGTACATGAACCATAAAAGGATATAGTAGGAAGTACATGGACTAGATTATTTTTGCTAAAGAATAGTACATGGATAGTTTATGAAAGACAGATTTAGTTTAACGAGGATAGTCATAGTGGGTTAAGAAAAAACATCGGGTTTGATAATCTATGTTAATCTTGAATCTAAGTACGACATCGGGTTTGAGAATCTATGTTAATCGACCATTTTCAGTTCAGAAAGTTGTATCAAAATTAGAAACGTGAAATCTACAAAATATTATTGTCAACCAAAACATTATTGGAGAAATAGAAAGGCTATTTTAAATCGACAATTGTCATCAGATACTCGAGATCGTTCACGCATGACGCAACGTATACAAATATGTGAATTAAAAAGTAACAAAATGAATGGAATTTTTAAAATAAAATAAAATGAACCAATGGTTGAGGAGGCACAACTATTCGCGGAGACACGGAGCCGTTCGCACCCATCACCTTGGAATCTCACTTTTTCACTCTCTCTCCTCATCACCAACTAGTCAACAACCACACACCATTTCTTTTTTTATATTGTATTTTTTTTTTCCTGCAGATTAAATTTCATTCAAAACAAATACAATATTACAAAATCAAATACAAAATATTAAAATAAAAAATATTAAAATACAAATTCTTGCATAACCAACTATATGCACTATAAATTTAAAAATAGGGAAATGAAATTGAAATACTATTTTTAAAATATAAACCTCACACACTAGCAAAACTGTTATTTTCTCTGTTTTTAAAAGTATGATGTTTTAATTTTTTCATACATACTAAAATACATTTTTACAATTTTTTAATTTTTAATTATTTTATATTTTTACTATTATATTAATGCTATTTTTCTTTTTTTATTGGTATATAATTTTTTGTAAAACTAAATATATTAATTAAAATCTAAAACATTAATTTTTAAAAAACAAGGAAAAAAATCTAAAACATCTTATATTATAACTTATAAGTAGAGAGTATATTTCTTTTTTACTACTCTTCATCTAACCTTCATACAACATGCATGTTATTTTGGAATGTCGACAGAATAGTTTGTTCTCTTGATAATAATGTGTATTTTATCTTGCTTTAACTCTTTTTATCTTTATATATGTCGATATGATACCTTCTTATTGTTATTATCATAAACGTAACTAAACAAAATTAGTAGTTCATTTTTTTGTTTGGCTATATCAAATTTTCTTTCTAAAAAATAAAAATGCCAAACTAACATTTATACTATACTGCAGTAGGAATCAATCTATTTGTAATTTTAGTAGGGCTCTACAACAATTATTCATGCCAATTAAAATAAAATAATTAAAAATGCAGCGTGACCCATTCCTCTACTCAACAAGTATCGTGTATCAAATGTGTCTCTCTCTATATATATGTATTGGTCTGCTTCACCTTCCAAAAAACATTGAATCCCTTTGGCCCAGTCTCTCTCTGAGCAAATATCTCTTTCTTGCACCCAAAGCAAATCTTCTTCATCTTCTTCAAAATTCATGTGAGTCTCCCAGATAATAGCAAACCAGGAGAAAAAAAATAAATAATATCAACTAATTAATTAAATCTGACATCATGAGTTGCAATGGTTGTCGTGTTCTCCGGAAAGGTTGCAGCGAGAATTGCATCCTCCGTCCTTGTATTCAATGGATCGAATCCGCCGAAGCTCAAGGCCACGCCACCGTCTTCGTCGCTAAGTTCTTCGGCCGTGCCGGTCTCATGTCTTTCATCTCCGCCGTACCGGAATCTCAGTGCCCTGGTACTTAACCAACTTCTCTTCTCCAGATCTTCTTTTTACTCTCCATGTTTTCTGGAAACGGCATCGTTTACTGATCTTAAGGGTATTTTGGTCATTTGACAGCTTTGTTCCAGTCCTTGCTATACGAAGCTTGTGGGAGAACTGTGAATCCGGTGAACGGCGCCGTCGGGTTGTTGTGGACGGGGAATTGGAATATCTGTCAAGCGGCGGTTGAGACGGTTCTCCGCGGCGGTTCCTTGAGACCGATCCCGGAGCTTCTTACAGGCGGGGGCGGGTTCGCGGGGTTTCCGTCTCCTACTTCCGACGAAGCATCCGAGATCTGCACGGAAATGTTGAATGGTTCTGGTGACCGGAATATCTACCATCACTGCCGATTCTCAAGTTCTAGATCGAGATCGACGGCTTCTCCACCGAAACGGAAACGATTAGCATCGGAACAACAACAACAACAACAGAAACCCTCGCCGGAGCTAGATCTCTCTCTAATCCCTAATTTTCCGATTAAAATGGCGACGGTTAAGGAGGAAACGCGTCGACCGGAAACACCGTCGATGTACTCGGAGGAATCCGTGACGACGGGGTCGTTCTGGGATAACACCGCCGGTGAACGGTTCGTACGCGGAGGAGGAGAAACGACAAAGTTGCTCAACCTTTTCGCATGAACGGCGTCGTTTCGTTTTTGGTTAAAAATGTAATTTCGAGTAACTTTCTTCTTTTTTTTTCCCCTTTTGTGGAATTCGGGAAATGTGGCCATCGGCAAAAAAATTACGTGATTTTTTTCTCTCTACTTAATGAGAAATTAACCACAAGTAATTAAATTAATTGAGAGAATAATGATAATTCGTCGTCGGTGGTGTACTAGTGTACTATTTTTCTCCATAATCATCATTCTCATCAGTTTCGGATTTAAAGATAACGATGATAATGTGTACGAGAAATGATAACTATTGGTAGTATTTAAATTATTTGTTTTTATTTGATCATATATTCAACATTAATAATAATTATTATGAAAAGAATAATAATGACGGATGAAGTCAACATATACATAATGCCATACAATATCAAAAGCACTGGCCAATTCTTTGCATCCAACATACTTCGATTCTTAAAGGACCAACATGTTGCATATACACACGCGATTATAATATACACAACTTGGTGTAGAGTATTTGATAATCACCTTGGTTACTCCCCAAATATAAATTATCTCCGGGTTTATTATCTTAAACTCACTAGCTACATGCATAACGATATGCTCCGAGATACAAGACAATTATTACTAATTAATGTATTATATTTCTTCACCCACTGACGTCGATATTGAGGTCTTTTGTAAATTGTAACATCCCAAAATTCTGCAACCCTTTATGATTGGCTCAAGAACTAATAAAACGATTAACTAGCTAGGTGCATTACATAACTACATTTTATTAGAATATTGTATATGTATATAATGGATATGGGATTATATAATGCAATGTAGTTGGATTGAACCAAAAAGTTGGGGTTATAACTTATAAAGGGAAAGCTTTTGGTGGAGAGGCGGCTTTTGGACGACGCAAAGAGCCGTTTTTTCACTCCTTACCTTCGTGGAATCTTCAAAAGCAATCTTTTTTATTATTATTTCTCATCTTCTTCTTCTTCCTCACATCTTGTTTTTTTTATTAATGTTAACAAGGTATATTTCTACTGTGCTTTGTGGATGATGGCGTAGAGACAATGAAATAGACCAATAACATGTTGTCTCTATAAATATGATTTCTTAGGTTTCGTTGATATTAACGTAAATATCAACCTAAAATTTCTGGGACTTTACAAAATCATACAGCTTTGCTTAATATGATCGTGGATTCATGTATAATATTACTCAGCCGATGCTGACCAATTTTAAATAGGACAGTGTTGTTGGCCACTGGCCAGGTCCCAAGTTCAAATACCAACAATGGAGAGGAGACTGAAATATATATATAACCTACTTTGAAACTTCTACAGTGTATACAGAGCGGTGCCTACTATAATAGAGGCCAGAGGCGACTAAAAACACATTTAAATTTATTTATATGAAACAAACATTACTTATAATACTTATTTTTATAAATTATTTATATTTGACTTTTTAAAAATATTTATAATAATTTGGAGAATAATTTAATTAAATAATTTAATAAAAAAAGAACAATTAAAAAAGAAAACTAACTTTAGAGATGAAAACAATTTAATATAAACTTTAAGAAATGTTCAGCAAGATGTAGTGCTAATTTAAACAATTTGGCAAACAATTTGAAACAGAGAATTGATATTAGTTATTTAATGTTTATAGATTTTATTATTCTCATTTGTAAATCAAATTTATTTTTAAAAACTGTTTTTAAAAATTGTAACGTACAATGATTCATACATACACATGCAAGTACATAATTGTATCTAATAGAAATTTTAGAAATAATTATGATTTTTAAAATAGATTGATATATATATATAATAAAAATTTCTCATTAAGTATTAAAATTATAGGGCCGTAGACCAATGTTTCTAATTGCCTCACGTAGGCACGACATGTATACAAAAATATTAATTCATTACATATAAATAACAAATCTATAATTTTCGAAACTCCTTATTGCTTATTTCTAAAACTAAAAGTTAAAAAAAATATATTCAGCGGTGACTTTTTTTTTGTAAGCTTCAAACTTGTCAAAATTTATCCTAAAAATAAAAAAGATTGTTTGAAATGAGGATATGGATTTTGGTTCGAACAGAAGAAGTGATTTGGAGATCTTTTGAAGTAGGACCCACTTAAAATATACTTTCGACCAACCACCAATTGGCAAACAAATGCTTGTGGTCCACGTCACTCTCCCTTCTTTTTCTGACCACCGGACTTTTTTTTTTATATTTATTTTTTTTTTAAAATTTTTTTTTTGTTTTGTCCGCTCCAAGTTTCTCACGACCTACTATTATCATCAACAAACCTCTCAGCTTTCACAAGCTTTTTTAAATACGATAAAAATGAAATTTTAAAATGAACAATGATCACGATAAACGCAGAAGATATATCATTTTTCTCTAATAACAAGCTGGAAAAGATTAATAAACGAATGAACTATAGACTATAGTTGAGGTCGTCAAAGATTTAATTTAAACAAAAAAAGTTTTCTAAGAAAATATGACTATTCTTTATCAAAAAAAAATTGGGCATACAAGTTGGTGTTCCGCGATCTGAGGGTTTTTAATGAAAGATCTACTCGAATATATAGGGACGTGAAAGTGGGGCTTATTTACATCCTCTTACTTTCAATCTCGTCCGTTCATTACATCTAATTAGTGTCTAATCATGAATTTCAAATTTTATGGAACTAATGTTTCTTTTCTACTTTTGTGGAGTTAATTATACTGAATGACTTTAACTTGCGAATAAGATATAGAATAATTTGGATAAACATGAGTCCATCAAATAAAATGATAATAAAAATTAACATTTTAGGGATAGCAAGATTCGTGGTTGATGCCAAGAGCCACGAGTAGCCGCAGTTTCTGATGGGCCCGAATACATTCATCACCTCCTCCACTTAAGTCGGTGTGACTTGTGAGTCCACTTGATGTTTTTAAAAAACCTTTTTCTTTCGAATCCAAACAAATAAATTAGTTATTAAGAATTTCAGCGTAGAAATGAGTCTTTACTTTAAATCGTTTATCATGAGATTCAAGTTAGTAAAGAAAACTAGCCGACAAAAAAAATAGTTGTAGTAAGAAAAAAAAAAGTAAACGTAAATGTGTTTGTTGGTCTTGGAAAAGTAAACGCAATTGAATTGTTAGAGATCAAATTACATATTTCAATCTCAAATTCTTTCTAAACAAAATTTGAATCACGGTTTCTGGAATTTTTTTTTATCATCAACCAAAGAACTACTTACACTTAGTCAAGCGCAATACTTATATGATTGTGAATACTCTTTTCCTATAATCCATGAAAAAAGGTGGTCAATAAAAAAAAAATTGGAGGCGAAGAACAATAAACGATACTATGTGGAACATCAAAATGTTCACAAAAGCTAATTATTCTAATAGAGTATCAAATAATTAATCAGGAACTCAAAATTAAGGTGGTATTCATAAAAATTCTGAATAAAACAAAAAAAAATTAAGAGTAAAATGTTTTGATATGATATTTTCCCTTTCGACAAATAGAGCGAAACCAGGTTAGCTGAATTATAATGTATCAATGTATCATACTAGCCCCGTAGACACACTTGATATATCAGTAGTAGTTAGTTGCATATTGTTCTCGATGAGATTTTATTTCGAACATTACTACCAAAGTGATAATTGTATTTACCTGCTACACTTTCTGTGGGTAACATATAACTAGTTAACATATTTAAAGTTACAAACTTCTGATTCTTGTTTATTTGAATCTCATTTACCGATAATCCCAATACATTTTTGTATATATATGAACCTCTTCAAACAAGATATACTGTTGTTATTGGTTATATATATATATATATATATGTAGCCTATAAGACGTCTCAGCCGTTTGTTTGTTTGCCTTCAATTTATCTCAAATCTATTGATTTTGTGTGAATCAATAACACTAATCTAGCAATTGTTATTGTCATTAATCGAGATTATCATGTGACAATTACTCTAATTTTGTCGTCCATAAGGGTTTTGTGTGATCCTTCTCCGAGTCCGAGTAAGGAGAGGAACCAAGAGCCATCTTGCCCCTTCAAAGCTTTTGTTGGCCGTACATTTATCTACACATCGGATATTCTTATATTATAGCAAAAATAAAATAAAGGAGTTTAATAAATGAGTATAAAATAAGATTAGTGACGCCGTTTTTCTTTATCGATTCTTCTATTGTCTGATTGATTCAAGTTTTATAGTATGATTGAGTATATAAACGTCACTAACATCTTTTGCGAATCATAATCCTTATGAAGGGTATTTTTGTAAAGGTAAACGAGACTTTGGAGAAGCTCGATCGGATCAGTGAAGAAGATTTGGGGGAGAGATCGCGACAAGGACTCTAAGTGGATCCGACACGTGACTTTCACGTGACTGGTTCCCTCATCGCTGGAACATATTATCCACTCTTTACCTTTGGGCCCTACGATAGCTTAGCTTCTGACCTAGTGACCTTTGACTAGTCTTTTACACATACTTATATTCCGGAATATAAAAAACAATCTTGTTTTCATTTGCTCAAGTATCTTACTAATCACCTAATGGACCACTAATATATATAGTTTCTTAATTGCCAGTGACTACATCAGTTAATTACACGGTTTCCAACTGTGATTTTACTGTAAATTGAACCAATCCAGCACAGTAAACGGAAGGCATTAACAGGAACATGAGTTCAAATTCAATTGTTCGCTTATAAATTGTCGGAAAAAATTAAAATATAATCAAGAGGTTGTGAAAAGAGAGTTGTTTTTTGGGGGTCATAAGGATTCATACTTTTTACTTTCTAATTTAGTAAAACAATGGACATGCAGCTCTCTCTAATTGTAATATTTTTGTAAATGGGCTTCCACTATATAATATTTCGATGAAGCCCAATGGACTATAGTTATGTAGTTCCTGATCAGCCGACTGTTCGGCCGTTGTCAAGCCAGTCTTCAGTAGAGAGCAAAGGAGAACTGTAGAGAGAGGAAGAAGATCAAATTTGAGCGAAGTTTGGATTTTCGACAAAATTTCAACTCACTAAAAGGAGAACTGTAGAGAGAGAGGAAGAAGCTTCTCTCTTGACTCATTATATTCCAATTGATAAATATTACAATTTTGTACGTTATACGTTCTCGTATTCATTCTAACAATCCTGTCTGTATACTAGAGAGATGTATAGTCTATGTTAGACAGGTTGCAAATTTTCTTTATATATGTATCTTCAACTTCAAACAGCATTTCAATAATAATTTTTATAATCTAGACTTCCAAGTTCCTATGACGATTTTTTTCGACATGTTTAAATTTTGATATTAACAAATTGAAGAACGGCCAAATGCTAAATACAAACGTACCAAAATCATATAACCAATCAATCGTGTGGTTTTTTTTTTTCTTTTCATTTTCTTGCTTTTGTTGTTAAGTGCATGCAGTGATTTTATTGATGAATGCGATAGTGCGGCGAAAAGTAGAATAATAGCAACCTAGATGACAAAATTTGCAGCCGTACATACACACATAAATACAATAAAAACCTGCCATTACTTATTCACATGTCACCCACCTTCAAGCACTTCTCTTTTTTTTTTTTTTTTCCATACACTCTCTAATACAGTATAACAAAATATACAATTCGAGTCAATAATACTAAAAATGCATATACTTTCACACCGACTACTACAGAGTGAGCATAACATAATTCACCCTATAATACCTAACTATAGAGATTCCTATTTTTTGCTATTTCGGACATATTGCACATATACGTATATATATAATCGAGACACACAGCATATATCTATCTATAGAGAAAAAAGCTGTTCTTGCATATTTGTCTTACATAAACGACCGAAACGGTGCGTTTCCCAATGATAAGATTACCACATACTTACACGACCCTCTCTACTGTCTCGTCTCTGTCTTTCCACATCCCTCTCTTTTGTCTCGTTTCTCTCTATTCTTCACTTTTGAGAATTTAAATACATAAAATTATGGATACGTCGTTTTCTCCACCCTTCTCTACTCTTTTGTTCCTTTTGTTTCATTATGTGTCATGCAAACACCACAAGAAGAGATTATTAACATTTCTCTAAACCGGACTCAAATGACCAAAACTCGGATCCTTAACCCGACCCGATTCACTTCTCCCAAATCCCTACGCTACGGCGGTGCCGGGGGCGACGCCAACTTCATGGAACAGCTCCTCCTCCACTGCGCCACCGCCATCGACTCCAACGACGCCGCATTGTCTCACCAAATCCTCTGGGTCCTCAACAACATCGCCCCATCCGACGGCGACTCCTCCACCCAACGTCTCACCTCAGCCTTCGTCCGCGCGTTGCTCTCACGCGCCGTCTCCAAAACCCCCACGCTTTTCGCCGCCGTCTTCCAATCGCCAGCCTACGAACTCCACCGGTTCTCAGTAGTGGAGCTCGCTGGATTTGTCGACCTCACCCCGTGGCACCGGTTCGGGTACATCGCGGCCAACGCGGCGATCTTAACAGCCGTTGAAGGTTACTCGACGGTGCACATCGTTGACTTAAGTTTGACTCACTGTATGCAAATCCCTACTCTCATAGACGCCATGTCAAGAAAACTCAACAAGCCTCCGCTTCTCAAACTCACCGTCGTCTCCTCCTCCGACTTGCCACCGTTCATCAATATCTCATACGAAGAGCTTGGATCGAAACTCGTCAATTTCGCCACCACGAGAAACATAGAAATGCAATTCACAATCATACCTTCAACATACTCCGATGGCTTCTCTTCCCTCCTCCAACAGTTACGGATTTACCCTTCTTCTTTCAACGAAGCACTCGTCGTTAACTGCCACATGATGCTACGTTACATCCCCGAAGAAACCCTAACTCCGTCGTCGTCGTCGTCTATCAGAACGGGTTTCTTGAAACAACTCCGATCTCTGAATCCAACAATCGTAACCCTAATCGAAGAAGACGCAGATCTCACGTCGGAGAACTTGGTCACGCGGTTAAGATCCGCGTTTAACTACTTCTGGATCCCTTTCGATACGACGGACACGTTCATGAGCGACCAGAGACGGTGGTACGAGGCGGAGATAAGTTGGAAGATAGAAAACGTGGTGGCGAAGGAAGGTGCGGAGAGAGTGGAGAGAACGGAGACGAAGAGACGGTGGATTGAGAGGATGAGAGAAGCTGAGTTCGGTGGCGTTAGGGTTAAGGAAGAGGCGGTTTCCGATTCGAAGGCGATGCTGGAGGAGCACGCCGTTGGATGGGGAATGAAGAAGGATGATGACGACGAGAGTCTTGTGCTGACTTGGAAAGGCCATAGTGTTGTGTTTGCTACTGTTTGGGTACCGGTTTAACCGGGTTTGCTTTGATTTTAATTTGCGTTTTAATTGGATATGTATGTAGTAGTGGATTGATATTGCTCTGATTTCTGATCTAATTAGTAATTACAACTTTATATTGTTTTTATGTTTTAGATTAAGATGAAAAGTTCACAGAGAGAAAAAAAAAAGTTTCATTAGCAAGTCTCTAAAGTTCAAGTTCAAATTTCGTGACTCTTTCAGTCTTTCCAAGTACGAGAGTTTAAGAGTGGGCGCAGTTGATGACCAAAAAATTATATATGCTTACATGTAATTTTCTGTATTGATATGTAGATATTGTTAAAGATACTAAAAAAAGAAAAACTTTAGATTTATTAGGTTCGATTACACAACAAAATAAAAAAAAAAAGAGAAAAAGGAAAGGAATGAATTTGATTTGTTTATTTATGATTTAGTTTACTGTTTATCTCTAATATTCGTAAAACAAGACTGAAAAATAGTACTCATTAATTATAAATGCTCTATGACTTTACGGACACTCAAAGACATTCTCAGCCTCGATACAATCTGTGGAGGCTTACCCAAAAAAGCAGTTGAAACCGTTAGAACAATCTGAACCACTCAAAACAAATATATACTTTGTTCGTAAACCATGGCTGAGATATTGAAAACAAGAGATGAATTTATAAGTTATGAGTAAACTCCAAGATCTGAGTCAAGAATCAGCTTTTATTGTCAACACACAAAGCAGTAAAAAAGACGAACCAGCAAAGTCAGTGGCTGGTTTCACGAAGACAAATTCCATCAAATATAATAGACACAAGAAAGTCATTATTGCTTAATGTCTTCTCCCACACCACGACTACAATACTTCAATCAATGTTTTGAAGGATCAAGAACTTGACCCATGAACAAAATGACTCTACTCTTGTCTTCCCTCACCGTGAAAAGAAACGGATGGTCGGCTAAGAAATCTGGACTTCTCTTGTAACACATGAATGTCGCTTCGACAGAAGAAACAGCTGCAGCTTCAGTTCCCTCTTCATCAACCTCAATGCAAGCTTTATGAAGAATATTTGAGACGTACAGATCCTTAGGCGAATCAACCATCTCGGTTAGGTTACCTCCACGTGTACTAAACGGCGAAGTCAGCCCCATATCTTTCAAAACGTCCGAAGCTTTAAACTCGAAAGAGAATTTAAACTTTGGAATCCTTATAGCCTCCACCGATATACGTTGGTTTGGAACGTGTTTATCAAGAAACCCTGGTTCAGAGCCTACTTTCTCAAGAAGATGAGATAATCCATTTTTATCATTAGGAAGATAAAAGCACATGGAGAATTGACGTTGACCTTCTTCTACATAAGGGAGGCGCAAAACTTGGAAACCATCATAGCCTTCTAGGTATTGGTCCTTGTGATTGGTCATGTAGGGGACTTTCACAGATGTGCCATCAAGAAGGTGAAAATCCCTAATTTTTGTCAACTCTACGTCGAATTTTTTGCTCCAAGCTCCTTTGAAGTAGACAGCATTTGCAAGTATGAGTTTGCTTTCACGGATACTCTCGATGGAATCATGTGAAAGAATCTGTTTGATGAGTCCATTGGTATGGACTTCTCCCCATTTATTCATTTCATCAATCACTTCAAGAGGCTTCAAAACAATCGATCAAGAAATTCACCAATCATTTCACAAATCCGACCTCACAACTCACGAATAGAGGAAATCGCAACGTTGAATCTCACATCTGACGGATATTAGTCAACTCACTAACTAATTTTTATATATGAAACCTTGACACCCACGAAATTAAAGCAATATTTGTTCAACAAGAGCTACGAATAACATAGAGGAGTTACCTTGGTACCGAAGTCAACTTGGCTGCAAGAAGCCTTGTAGGAGTTCGTCAAAAGATTTTTAAAGGAAGGCTTGAAGGAGAGAGATTTATCGATCCAGACACCATTAGCCACCGAGAAACGCAACTTACTTCCCTTGCTGCCATCGGCGAGGGCAACAGATACGATCTTGGTCAAGACTGCGTTGAGGTGATCCATCGACGGTGACATGAGGAATGAGAGTATTTGTTCTCTTGAGACGGAGCTTGAACCTGCGGCAATGATGGTGAGCAAGACGTTGATTGACGTTGGTGAGAAGACAAGATTGGATTTGGAACCGTCGGCAACGGTAGCGATGACATGCTTGGCTAGTCTTGCTTCGACGTCGTTTTGCTTCTCGATTGATTGTCCTAACCCCATGTTGTTTTTTTCTTAACTTTTTGTTTTTGTTTTTTTCAGACAAAACAGAGAGGTGAGGGACGAATGATTCTAAATATACAGAGATGATCAGATTAAAAAATTCGTACAGTTCATCGACTCATCACTTCAGCACGATTACAAGGTATATCCGATTGAAATATTCTTTTGAAAATGACTACATATTAAATAGTAAGCTGTTTAAATTGTAAACAAAGAGTTGGGTAGAAAGTAAACATGGCTAGGCCACTTTGTCTGCCACTGTCACTCGAGCATGTGGCATAAAAGTGGGTCTTCTGTGAGCCAGTTGACTAAAAAAAAAGTAAAAATCGCAGAAGGAAAAATAAACCAAGTATGATATATATGCATACGGTAAAAATTGTTTCACGAAATGTGGTCTATGATGATAAATATTGATAATGATAGAAAAAGAAACATATCATCCCCATCTGATTTACTCAACTAGGTAAAACATGTCTATATACAAATTATACACAACTAGCTACCATTCAACTATGTACGTGGATGCAATAGTAACTTCAAATTTATTTCACATACTAATGAAACATATTCAAAAGAATCGGATCTGATGGGTTGTGGTTTAGTGATTTTAAAAATGTGATTCAGAGTTACTATTCAACTGGTGGCCAAAACTTGGAATTTCCACCATTTTATTTTATTTTATACTACTAGTTATGTATCTATTAAAATAGAGCAGTGCAGATTTGATTTGATTTTTGTTTTGCCTTTGTATCATCGTGATTTCCCTTTTATTGTTTAGACAAAAAAAAAGCAGTTAAAAGACTTTTACAAACCCAATTCCATCAAACCAGGTATATATATATAGACATAAGTCACATAACCAAAACATTTTATTACTTAATGTTTTGAAAGATCAAGAACTTGACCCATGAACAGAATCACTCCACTCTTGTCTTCTCTCACCGTGAATAGAAATGGATGGTCAGCTACAAAATCTGGATTTTCCAACCACAACATATCCTGTGTGGTACGACAAACGGCTGCAGCTTCAGTTCCCTCTTCATTCACCTCAATGCAAGCTTTATGAAGAATCTTTGAGACGTACAGATTCTTAGCAATGCTAGGTGAATCAACCATTTCAGTTAGACTACCTCCATGAGTAAACGGTGAAGTCAGTCCCATATCCTTCAAAACATCCGACGCATCAAACTCGAAAGAGAACTTAAATTTAGGAATTCTGAAATCATCCACTGGTACACGGAAACGTGGAATATAGTTATCAAGAAACCCTGGTTCGGATCCCATTTTCTCAAGCAGAGCATGTAATCCATCTTTATCATCAGGAAGATAGATGTACATGGATAATTGACGTCGATCCTCTACATAAGGGATGCACAAAACTTGGAAACCATCATAGCCGTTTAGGTATTGGTTCTCGCTATTGGTCATGAAGGGAACTTTCACAGAGTTTCCGTCAAGAAGATGAAAATCGTAATCTTTTGTCAACTTTGCATCGAATTTATCGTTCCAAGCTCCTTTGAAGTACAATGCATTCGCAAGTATGAGGTTGCTGTCACGGAGAGCTTCGATAGAATCGTGTGAGATAATTTGTTCTATGAGTCCATTGGTGTGAAGTTTAGCCCATGTATTCATTTCATCAATCACTTTACCAGGCTTCATATTAACAAATAGACCAATCATTCCACAAGTTGAATGTAATAAACAGAAGGAGAGCCTTTATGTTTTGGTTTGCAAACTAGTCCACCTTGATAGTTTTAAATTGTGTTAGGAGTTATGTTTTTTAAAAAAACTTTGGACTTTGTCACACTTGTTGTATAAAAGGTTCATTGATTGAGTAAATTTTACATTCGATTAATAAACATAGAAGGAGTTACCTTGGAGGAGAAGTCAACTTGATTGCAAGTAGCATTGTATGAGTTTTCCAAAAGCTCTTTGAAGGAAGGCTTGATGGAGAAAGATTTGTCGATCCATACACCATTAGCTATAGATAAGTGCAAATCACTTCTCTCGTTGCCATTGGCCAAGACTGCGTTGAGGTGATTTGATGATGGCAACATGAGGAACGAGAGGATTCGTTCTTTGGCGACGCAGCTGGAACCAGCGGCAATGAGACAGAGCAAAAGGTTGATTGAAGTTGGTGAGAAAACAAAGTTGGAGCCATTGGAAACAGTAGCAATGACATGCTTGGCTAGCATCACCACCACATCGTTGTGATTCTCCATTGATTTTCCCAATTCAATGTTTTTTTCTTCTTTTCTCTAATTTCCAAACAAAAGAAAATGAGGTAAGGACGAATGGTTCTAAATAGGATGAGTATAAAGTAAAGAATTAGAAAAGTTGAACAGTCATCGACTCATCACCTTAAGCACGATTACAAGGTTAAATCTTCTTTAAAAATATTTTCTTACAATGACTACATATTAAATCGAACTATTACTAAACAATATACTATGTAATTTGCCGACAGTTGACAACTTGTATTTCATGCAAGTTTGGAAGATTGAATGTTGGTTGAGAGTTCATGAGTATTCTGAAGATAAAGCTATATGTGAAATGGTGAGCATTATAAAGAAAAAGTTTGACAAATATTGGGAGGAGTATAATGATATACTAGCGATTGCTGCTGTTTTTTGATCCAAGATTGAAGTTCGTATTTCTAGAGTACTGCTACAACATTCTAGATCAGTCTACTAGTAAGATGAAAGTGGATCATCTTCGCAAGAAAATGTATAAGCTCTTTGGAGCTTATAAGAAAAATCCAAAGAACATAACTGCAAGCTCTTCAGAAGCAAACACGGAAAAACAAGTTCCAGCAGGTTACAATATAAGTTTTCTACATACTACATATATTTGAAAATCTTTCGGTTATGGTTTGAATGATTAGAATAATGGATTCTGGTTTTGTGATAATGCAGGGGTTTTATGCCTATTTTTCACAAAAATCTGTTGGTAATGGAAAATCAGCTTTGGATGTGTACTTGGACGAGCCTGTGATGGATATGGCTGCTTTCAAAAGTTTGAATGTCCTGACATATTGGAAAGACAACGCAACCAGGTTTAAAGAGCTCTTATCTATGGCGTGTGATGTGCTTTGCATTCCTACTACTACAGTATCTTCTGAATCATCATTTAGCATAAGAAGTCGAGTACTTAACAAGTATAGGAGTTGTCTTTTACCTTCAAATGTGCAAGCATTGATGTGTGCAAGGAATTGGTTGCGTGGATTTGAAGAGATTCGTAAGTAGCATTTACTTTATGATTAGTTGTTTATGCTTTGAGAACTAGTTTGATTTGACAACTAACTCCATTTGCTTTTTATAAATTTTGAAACTGATGTTGAATTTGAGAGCATGGAAGAGAACATAGAAGATGATGAAAAAGAAGCATGAAGAATGGCATGAGTTTTCATTCTCTTGAGTTTGTCATCTCATTCTCACATATGTATCCTTTTGTTTTAAGAGAGCTAAGATTGATTAGTCTCTTGAGTGTTTAAGTTGAAACTTGAGACAAGTTATGTGTGTTTTTGCTATGATATTTAAGGATTTGAAACTTGATTGTATTTTGAAACTTAAGACAAGTTATGTGTGTTTTCGTTGGTTTGCATTATGATTATATTGGGCTGACCGTGGACTGCCCATTTAAATATGTTCGAATTTGGACATGAAGATATTTGGACGTGATCATTATTGCCTAACCATATTTGTCCATAAAAGGTAATTGTCCATTTGGACATGGACACGCCCATCCGACAGTTGTAACAGTTGTTAACAAATTAAATCTTGGCGTGGCGAGAAGAACTGAGAATTGGGACTGAAACTACCATAAGACGAGTCAAGGAAAACATAATCTGTCTTTTTCATTTCCTTTTATTTTATTTCTTTTAAATAGAAAGATTGGAACAAACGTTACCACAAACTTGGAAAGAAATGCATCATGGAAAGAGAATATATATGAAGTAATTCTGCTCCTACAAACCAGAGAGCATCACATCACTTTAATTAATTATTTGCAAAACATAGAACTAAAAGACGAAACATAAGTTATGGTTTCTTCAAACCACATCACACAGCACAACAAACGTTTTCGTTGCTTAATGTTCTCTCCCACACCAACAGTATACTTCAATCAATGTTTCGAAGGATCAAGAACTTGACCCATGAACATAATCATTCCACTCTTGTCTTCTCTCACAGTAAATAGAAATGGATGGTCAGCTACAAAATCTGGTTTTCTCGATTTATGTAGCGAACAACCCGCCACCATCTTGAGTGCAACAGAAACGGCTGCAGCTTCAGTTCCCTTTTCATCCACCTCAATGCACGCTTTATGAAGAATCTTTGAGACGTACAGATTCTCAGCCATGCTAGGCGGATCAACCATCTCCGTTAAGCTACCTCCACGAGTAAACGGCGAAGTCAGCCCCATATCCTTCAAAACATCCGAAGCTTCAAACTCAAAAGAGAACTTAAACTTTGGAATTCCAAAAGCACCCACTGATCTACGGCGGCGTGGAATACGATCATCAAGAAACCCTGGTTTCGAGCTTATTTTCTCAAGCAGTGCATGTAAGCCGTCTCTATCATTAGGAAGATAAATGTACATGGAGAAGGAGAAGTGAGGATGATCCTTTACATAAGGGAGGCGCAAAACTTGGAAACCACTATAGCTGTTTAGGTATTGGTCTTGGCCATTGGTCATGAAGGGAACTTTCACAGATGTGCCGTCAAGAAGACGAAAATCGTAATCTATTGTCAACTTTGCATCGAAGCTTTCGCTCCAAGATCCTTTGAAATACATTGCATTTGCAAGTATGAGCTTGCTTTCACGAATATGCTCGATAGAATTGGGTGAAAAAATCTGCGTAACGACTCCATTGGTTTTGAATTTAGCCCATGCATTCACTTCATCAATCACTTCACCAGGCTTCAAAAACATAAGCGTTCAACAAGTTCAATGTTATTAACACAACGAACACAAAGATGAAATCGCAACGTTAACCTTACAAATCTCAAGATGGTATCTAAATAAGAGGTACCTTGGATGCGAAGTCAACTTGACTGGAAGTAGCCTTGTAAGAGTTATCCAAAAGCTCTTTATAGGAAGGCTTGAAGGAGAGAGATTTGTCGATCCAGACACTATAAGCGGCTGAGAAACGCACAATATTACTTCTCTCGCCGCTATCGGCGAGGTTAACGAATATGGTCTTGGCCAAGACTGCGTTGAGGTGATCCGATGACGGCAACATGAGGAACGAGAGGATTCGTTCTTTGGCAAAGGAACTGGAGCCAGCAGCAATGAGACAGAGCAAAACGTTGATTGACGTTGGTGAGAAGACGAGGTTGGTGCTGTTAGCCACCGTAGCGATGACATGCTTAGCAAATATCACCGCGACATCGTTTTGCATCTCCATGGATTTTCCTAACTCATCCATGTTATATGTTACTTTTATTTTTCAGATGAAAGCAAGAGTTGGAAGAAGAATGGTTTTAAATAGGCAGATGTGTGATTATATAGTATCAAAAGTAAAGTAAAATAGAACATTTGAACATGCATCGATACTCATCACAACATATGATTACAAAAGTAAACCATCAAATATTTTCTGAAAATATTACAAATTGAAAACAAAGACTGATTCTTTTTTTCTTTTTCTTTTTCAAAGACTGGTTTAATCGAAAACTAATAAACTGAAAATAATGACCGGTAGCAAGTCAACAACTAAAGTCAACATTTTTGGAAATTGTATTATGCAGTCATAATTTTTTATATATAATAAATTATCAGCCAACTAACGCAAAAGAAATGAAAAAAGAAGTGGAGGGTTTTCAAATAATCTTGCAAGTAACATTGTGTAAACAAGATCATTGTAAATTTGTAATTGATCAAATAGGTAGCTCTCCTCATCTAAGCTATCCACATCAACAATTTATTTTATGGGCTTTAAAAAAATTATTGTCTATATATTTTTATATATTTTGTATACACATATTTTACAAACTAAAAAGCTATAAGTTATCTAATTTTTATTTTTAGTAAGTTTATATATATATATATATATTTAGACATATTCATATGAAATAAATCCAACACCAAAACTCCTATACATTGAAAAGATGAAAAACTGTGTTCTTAATTCCAATTGGTAATGATAATTCTCTCTCTATATATTATGTTGTTTTTTAATTAATATGGTTTAACGAGATGGTAAACATTCTCCAAGCCATTTGTTTTTGAAATTGGTAACCAATTCTTCAACATTGTATATGATTGTTTTGCCAAGAAAACTCTCATACCCACCACTAGAAATAGATAGAGATAAAGGAGCTGAAATATCATTTTGGAATAATGGTTTTTTTGAGTTATATTTGCATATACATTACACAATGAAGAGAATTTCCGTGGAGATTGTCAAATGCCAACATTTCTGACTAGATTGTCACTAGATCAAACTCCATGGCCGGAGCAACAATATATCACTTCACTAAGTAGATGCAGTGTTTGGACAAAAGGTGGAAAGGGCAAAACAATTTTTTCAAAAACAACGGATCCAAGGTTTATTGTCTGATAGTTTGAGTACTCGAGTACTCAAAAAAAAACAAAACCTGACTTGCTAAGATCTTTGGTATCTTACCTTATATTCTAGTTGTTAATAATGAGAAATTAATGTGTGGGAATGAAAAAATTGAACGAAAATATGACAGATGATTTACATATGCATTGTGTATCCATAATTTTAAAGAACAATAATGAAAAAAAAAAATTATTAATGAGAATTGCCCTATGACTTTAGGATTACACCAAACACCAAAACTCAAAGATACTTTTCTTGGCTCGCTTTATATACAATCAAAACATGAAAAAATCATATGTTGATAATCCTAAAAAAACATGAAAAATCATATGTTGATACAGAGAAAACCCTTTACAACACAGGAATTGAAAATCATCAACAAGAACAAGTGTTTATGGATTGTTACTAAGAGATAGAATGTCTTCGGTCTTTAGGTGGTTTGTTTCGTCCTTGTACTGTCAGGCCAAAAGGGTTAAGCTTTCCGAGTTTCCTAGAAACAGAGCATATAAACGACTTTCTCGGTAACGGAGGCTTAACCACCGAAGTAGTTGAAACCAGAGAACAATCCGAACCACTCGTGACTTCAAGAGCTTTCTCCTTCTCCAATTCCTTGAACTTCATTTTCACCTTGAGCAACTCAAGCTTCAAGTCTTGGTTCTCACGGTTTAGTTTGGAGAGCTCATTGTTGTATGAGCCTAGCTTATGATAAGGAAGACTTTCTGATGCAGTTGCGGCTGCTGGAGAATCTGAATCTCTAAAACCTTGGTAGAGAATTTGTTCTACGGTTTTTAGAGGGAGACGTTCGTTTTGAGCTGCATGAGCGCAAGCTTCTTGCGATAGCTTTTGACAGTTCATTAAGCTGCAAATTTTCTTCTTCTCCACTTCACTTATGTTCGGATGCACCTGCACAACAAGATTTAACAGCATTTTGTAGTTTCAAGTAAAGGGTTTTCATCATATGATTCAGACCCACAAGATCTTTGAACTTTTCATTATATGGGTCACAACATTATACAAATGTTAAAGCTTTAATCAACAAAAAGTTTCATTCTTGTAGCGAAAAAATGTGTACCTTGAGGTAGACGTCTATGGCTCGATACATCCCATCTTCAGTAACCCTAGACTGTTCAGGAATGCATTCAGCTAAACCGATGAATTGCGACGAGTTTATGTTCTTATCAGAAGCGATCTCTGCGAGATAAGACTCCATCAGTTCACCGATATTACTGGCGAAATCAACAGAGTTCCCTTCAACTTCAAACTCAAGATAGTTCAAGAGGATGCGTTGAACGGTATCAACATCAAACGTTGTGTTGTCTCCATTGAATGTGTAAGAAGGGATCAAGAGATCATCAAGCACGGCTTGTCTTAGCTGTAATCCCATTCTCTTCTCCAAATCAAACCTACAAGCTACCGTGGTCTCGAGGTATATGGCAGCTCTTAAAAGCATAGAAAGAAAGCTCACTGAAACTGCGTTTCTCTCCCTCGGAAGAAGACTCACAATCGTCTCAAGAACCAACCTTTTCTCTTGTTCTTGTTCCGCATCCATCTTCTTATTCCCTCTCCCAAATATCTCCTACATTTTCCACAGAAAAAAATGAAATCTTTCTCTGAAATCAGTTGAAGAAAAGACACATTGTTCTGTTATAAAATCAAGAATCTCACCAAACCTCTAAGAGCTTTTTGAGCATAGAGCATAAGCACTGGACCAAGCGCGTACCGGTCAAACCCTCTAGCCATCATTGCGACTAAGACACGTCGAAACATATCGATCCTTAGAGCAACTAAATCCTCAGCCCACAAGTCCACTATATCCTCCTTGCTCTGGCTTTTCAGACAAATTACATAAGCAATTGAATCTATACAACGGCTCACGAGCTTCACTCTCTCTGCTATAGGCAACAGCTCCTCAGATTTTCGCAGAACTTTCACAGATTTCGATAAGCTCTTTAGGATCACTTCGTTCAAGTAAACCTCTGTTGTCTCCACGAGGTTTGCAACAGAGTGTTCCTCTGTCATCTCTAGATACTCTGCTGCGCATCGCAGCATCGCAATGTTCTCTGTGCTCATGTCAAAGTTTATACCGTAGCAGAATTTGATGACTAGCTCGAATGCTTCTGCACCTCCAGGAAAATCTGGGATCTTGATAACGGTAGTGTTGGAATCGTTGCTTGATTCGGAAGCAAGTTTCTTTATAAACCCACATTTTGACAGAAGAAACTGCACATATTACAGAGACTAAGTATAATCTATTTGTGTATAGATTAGATCTAGAAAAATAAGTACCTTGTGGAGTGAAAACGAAGTTTCTCCAATGTGAACTGCAATGTCACTAGAAATCTCCTGAGAAGAAATCCTGAAACCAGTTGTTGTAAGAAAGAAGAATAAAGATTCGATTTTTACATTTTATAACAAAAGAAGAAGAAGAAGAAGAAGAGAAATGAAGGAAGAGAGTGAGAAAAACCAGTCACTAGTTCTCTTCATGGCTAAGGACAGAAGCTCCTTCCTCTTTGCCGACATATTAACAACACTTGGCGTTCAGTTACTTCGTGCTCAAGAAATCCACCATTGAACTACTTTAAAGGACTCTTCTCAACATAACTCCTTCATATACAGATATAATCTCACGTTGGAATCGTTACACGTACTCAAAAGAGACGATGAAGAAAGAATATGATCCACCAAAAGTTTCTTCCTTTTATTCTCTCTATAATCCAAATTCCTCAAATGAAACTACGAAATACCCAAACTAACCCTGTCACTGAGCGCACGAGAGGGAGAGAGATGAAGGATAATTACGTAATTAACAAGACAAAGCTCAGGATTAGTTCAAACTGTTTTTGGAGTATGTGGTTCAAACGTCAAAAGAGGTAGGGATCCCTTGTGGATCTGAAACGTCTTTTCGTAATAATAATGCAAATGAAACCTTTGATCGATCACACCGCCAAATAAGTGAAACTATGGACGGACTCTACTTAAACTGTGAAACAATGTTACCGACAAAAACATTTGGAATGATAGAACTTTAGTACTTACCGATCAAAATAGGAATTTAAAAATGGCCACGAAGGTACATCGATCTTTTATTGTTTGCTTCTTTCTCCAAATTTTTATTTTTAATTTGTGTACCATCTTATCACTAATTCCAAAAGCCTATGGTACATACAGCTTTATAGGACATGAAGAAACGATACATGAAGACTGAAAAAGAAAAGAGAGAGAGAATAAATAAGCCGCACATGTTTTTTTGTGACAGAACATATATATTTTCTATCCCTACAAGTTTTTATTACCAGATCTATTATAATATCTGATTGAGACACAACTTAATCTTTGTTATAAATGGTGTCGCTTGCTCTATCACTTTCTCGAAACTTTCTAATAGTAAAAGTAATAAATTATAAGTTTTAAAGATTCTTGTTGAAACAACAAAACAGAGCAAATAATACACGGAATGATAACAAAAACTGGGTTTGTAAACAGCCTGTGATAATAATGTTTGGTTTTACTTTTACCTCAAAGATGAATCGAAGATGGACCAGAAACAGCAACAGCTCTCTGAGCACGCTGAGTTTCTCCGCGGTAAAGCTCCTTCGTCTCTTTCTTCACCTTCCTCGCTTCTCGCCTCTCGGTTTTCACAGCAGTTTTTCGCTCTTTCTTCTCTTCTTTCGTCTCTTGCCCATGAGTCTTCCTCTTGACCGGTTCAGGTTTCGGGATTACCGGTTTAACGCTGGTCTGCTCAGCTTTCCTACCGGGTAAAAACTCGACGGGTATCTTCTCTTTCCCCTGGAGGGTAATGATTTTACCATTTGAACTCATTGCTTTACCTATTGTTTCACTCAGCCTCTTCTTCCTAGCTGTCTCTGGAGCATAGATTTTACCAGGGTGGTTATCGAGATTCGAGAACGTCGTGACTATGGTTTCACAGTCCCACTTCTCGCTCTCGTCGCTACTTTCTTCCACCACCTCCACAAACTCATCATTCCCGTTTGCGTAATTGTCACCGTACTCTACACAGCGACGGATGATACGAGCAGCAGCTTCCACCTCTTCTTTATCTTTTACAGAGTCACTGTTCTTCAATATATCCGCAGGGTTCATATACTTTTCTGCTTCAAGCTCGAAATCTTTCGGCTTCTCGTAAATAAGATTATGAACGCTCTCAGCCGTCATTGGCTCTTCTTCTACTTCCCCGTCTTCAGCCGAGTAGCCGTAACCGTCATTGTCACTGTCACTGCCATATTCATTGAGCTCGAGCTGATCAAATAGTGCATCAATCTCACGAGGAACTCTCTGGTTTTCAGCCACATGTTTATCAGTCAAATCGAAACTTTCTCTGTCCCTTGCCACGGGTCTTTCAGAAAACTCGAGCTCGTTGTTGCTCACACCAGAAGCTTCTCCCTGTTGAGTAAGATTAGCTTGAATGACAAAATCTTCTTCCAAATCCTCAACATCTGAACCAAACTCAGACCCATCACTGTTCTCAAGCAACGCAGCCACTTCAGGATCAATGACCCTCTTCACCTTGACGTTTACAGTTTTCGACGCCACAGTGTACATCGACTTGTCATTAGCTTCATCATTCAACATACCAGAGATTTGAACACGAGAGGCATCATACGCCTTGACATCAAGAGGAAGCTGAACAGCCTCAAACTTGGGGTTAGCGTAGAAATTAGAACCACCACCAGTGTTCTTAATCTCTCTCAAATGCTCCAAGTAGTTATAGCCATCATCAGGGTACCCTAACTCCAGAATCTCCTTCCTCACATGAGCAGGTAAAGGATTGCTCGAATCCCCATAACTGGAGTAACCATATGCCAAATCTTCAGGGGCATCTTCGAACTGTGAGTTATCTTCTTCTTCTTCTTCTTCAATGAAACCATTGATGGTTACAGGGTTCTGATCGACTCGTAAGAAGATCTTATCGCCGCCTGGCGCGTCACTGTATCTTGGGTCAGATGTATCACGAGGACACATCTCGAAAGTCGCCGCCTTTTTCTTATCAATGAACTTCTTCTTCCCCATTTTACTGATTTCTTCGAGGTTCTGAGTGTTTGCAAACTGCGACGGCACAAAAGTTAGGGTTTATAAGTTACAGTGATCAATTCGGCGCAAAAACTAGACTACGATCAATTCCCGACTAACCAAAGTTAAAATAATTGAAAATAGGGTTAATCTATCAATATAAATCATCGAAATCAAGTCTAGAAACGATGCGAAACCACTATTGATTCGAGAAGAGAAGCTTACCTGAGAGTTTTTGAGAGAGGCGCAGAGAGATGATGATGATGAAGAACAAAACCGAAAACGGCTTTGAAGGTTTTTAGGGTTGAGCCAAAACGCACCGTTTTTAAAACAAACAATATAATATATTTTATTTTTCTTTAAAAAAATAAAATTTTCCTAACTCGGTGAAAGGAAAATAATCTACTGCGGGAGAGTGCACTGAATGATTACATGCGCCTAATCTTCTTCTCCTACTTTCCCTTGGCATCTCTTCGACGGTTCCTGTTTTTGTGCGCCATCTTAATATTGCGTGCGCCTTTGGCGCATTCCCCTATCCTACCGGTCGCCGTCGTCACAACCGGGACCGTTGATTCAGACGTTGCTGGTAGCAGGTTCGATCCTCACCTCGATCCCGACTCTCTCGACGAGATCTCTCTTTCCACCGTCAGGCGAGCGATGTCGAAAGCTCGTGTTTATACCGACGTTAACGTGATCCGACCCAAGGAGTATTGGGATTACGAAGCTCTCAATGTTCAGTGGGGGTAAGATCGTTTTTTTCTGAAAATTAGGAAAACCCTAAGAGCTCTCCTTTTCAATTCGCTTTAGCCGTCACTCATATGGGATTATTGGGTTTCATGTTTATTTGAGATCAGACATAAATCTAGATTATAAGGTGATTTTGACATTAGCTGCGTTCACTTTCATATAGCTTCATTCATGATTGTTGATTCCAAGCTTTGGATTCTCTTCCAGCTAAAATTGAATCTTATGGAAATGATACAAGTAATGTAGAAATTGAACTTTTTTTAGCTGTTGGTGTTCTTGATTTTTGATCTGTTTGAGGAGAGTTACTTTGTTCGTCCTGCATAATATTTGGTCATTGAAGGTGATGGTGGTTTTGTTGATAAAGTTTTGAGCTTCTTGTATGTGTTTCCTTCTCAGGGAGCAAGATGATTACGAGGTGGTCAGGAAGGTGGGGCGAGGCAAATACAGTGAGGTTTTTGAGGGGATATACATGAACAGCCAGGAGAAGTGCATAATCAAGATTCTCAAGCCTGTCAAGAAAAAGAAGGTGAGTGATAATAATTTATCGAGTTTAGTCGCTTTCGGTTGTTTCGCCCTGAATCAGTTTTTATTTTGGGTTACCTTTCTGAATTTTATATGATCCTTTAACAGATTAGAAGAGAGATTAAGATACTTCAGAATCTCTGTGGAGGACCAAATATTGTGAAGCTGCTTGATGTTGTCAGAGATCAACACTCAAAAACCCCGAGCTTGATATTTGAGTATGTTAACAGCACAGACTTTAAAGTTCTGTATCCTACATTGACTGATTATGACATCCGTTACTACATCTATGAGCTGTTGAAGGTAATTTATGCATCCGTTTAAATTCCATTACGACTTCACCAATCTGTGGAATTTTCTCGGTTTTAAAACAAGAAAAAGTTCAGTGATAACCTTGCAAGTTTCCTATGACATGCTGTAGGCATTGGACTTCTGCCACTCACAAGGCATAATGCACAGAGATGTCAAGCCACACAATGTCATGATCGACCATGAGCTGCGCAAACTCCGCCTTATAGATTGGGGTCTAGCTGAGTTTTACCATCCTGGAAAAGAGTATAATGTCCGTGTGGCCTCAAGGTATGATATGCGCTTTCAAAATAACTTGGGTTGCTATCTCATTTTTCTCTAAACCAGTTACAGTATGCAGTCTTTGTCAGTAACTAAGCTTGGTCAAATGTTGTCTCCTACATCAGATACTTCAAGGGACCCGAACTTCTAGTGGATTTACAGGACTACGACTATTCCTTGGACATGTGGAGCCTTGGTTGCATGTTTGCTGGGATGGTGAGTACCTTTGCAAGGCTTCCTTTGCTACAGTTTATATGATTATTTTTTTCAGAATGTTTCCATGAATATCGATGGTCATCTGATTTGTCTAATTATCTTCTCTTAATAGATATTCCGCAAGGAACCTTTCTTCTATGGCCATGACAACCAGGATCAGCTCGTCAAAATTGCCAAGGTAATTTAATTGTGTGGCTAAACTTTATCAAGTAAGTAAAAGGATTTTAGAGGGCATTAAGTTGCTTTTTTCACATTCTAAAGAGTATTTGTTTGACTCTTGACTCAGGTCCTTGGAACCGATGAATTGAATGCGTATCTGAACAAGTATCAGTTAGAACTTGATGCTCAATTAGAAGCACTTGTTGGGAGGTAAGCACAACTCACATATCCTCTGTAGTATAAGAGTAAGATTAGAGTAACGCCAATGACTAATTCTCTCCTTCATGATATCTTTGGCTATTTCCGCAGACATAGCAGGAAGCCTTGGTCCAAATTCATCAACGCCGACAATCGGCATTTGGTCTCACCTGAGGTTTACTTGTTTTCTTTATTACTATAGAAACACCAACAGCTTGTCTTTTGCCACGCAT